AAGGCTGAATGAAGCGAGGCCATTCTGACAATAGCATTGCTGGAAACGTCAAGAATTCTGGAGAAATGGATAGATTTCTCTTGCCTTTTATCTAGCGAAAGCCATTAGATTTTACTAGCATGAAAATCAGTAAATACAATAATAAAAAAATTGAATCCATCAGGAAAACCGCACTGTTCAATACCGATTTCTGGAATGCCAAGGTGATTTGTTTACCATAAAGTTCTCTTGGTAACAGCAGTAGTAATAGTATTAGTAAAAAAAAGCAGCAGTAGTATTAGTGTGTTAGTAACAATAGCGGCAGTAGTAATGTGTTAGTAACAATAATAGTAGTAGAGTGTTAGTAACAATAGCAACAACAGTAATACTCTGTTAGTAACAATAGTAATAGTAGCGAGTTGGTAACAATGAAATGTATTAGTAACAGTAGCAGCAGAAATAGTATTGTGTTAGTAAGAATAGCAGCAGTAGAAATGTGTTAGTAATAATAGCAGTAGTAGTAGTAGTGTATTCATAACAATAGCAGTAGTAGTTGTGTGTTAGTAACAACAATAGTAGTAGGATGTTAGTAACAATAGCAGCAGCTAGTACTATTCCTATTTTTACTAACACACTACTACTGTGGTTGCTATTGTTACTAACGTGGTAGTAGTGAGTTAGTAATAAGAGCAGTAGTAGTAGTATGTTAGTACAACAGCAGTAGTAACTGTATACATTATTGGTACATACAATATGATCCTGAATGCGTTAAAACCAAAAGATTGACCAGAGAATTAATAATTAAAAATATCCATACGACTACATCACAAGGGAGTACTTTTAATTTGTTGCTACATGATTACCAATTAAATTCACTCGATTCTGCTTATTTAAAGACTGAATCAATACAACAGAATCTATAATGGAAATAAAAATTAGAATTTGCTGGTGTAATGACAAAAGTACGCAGGTGTAGGCTTTAAGGGATGTCTATTCAACTGAGAATACAAGCTTCGCGTATAATGTCCTTTTATAGTTCCAGTAAACAGAAATAGCTCTCTCAAACAGGAAAGTAACAAAACAAGGGGAGACCACTATTGATTATTCATAACAGCTGGTTTGTTTTGTATCGCGTTTTCTTTGGTTATTTCAGGTTCTGTTCTGTGTTATGAATAATCAAGAGTGGTCATGAGAGTCAAAAATAAGGAAACATAGGTCAGGTTTGCACAGAAGTCAAAGAGGTGGTGACACAGGTCCGCGGTTTGCCCGAATGCCAATAAAACTAGATATAAGATCTGGTCTGTAGAAGAATAAAAGAAATAATTAAACATAGACCGGTTTTCACAAGAGTTAAAAGGGTTAATGTTATGGTCCGGTTCCTTGTACCACGGTGATAGTCCAAGGTAGAACCAATAAAGAAGAACTCGAACACAGGTATGGAATAACACAGATATATTACAAACAGGAATATATACAGAGAAGTAGAAGTGTTAGTATGAGTAGTATGTTACTACAATAGCAGTAGTAACTGTACACATTATTGGTACATACAATACGATCCTGAATGCGTTAAAACCAAAAGATTGATCAGAGAATTAATAATTAAAAATATCCATACGACTACATCACAAGGGAGTACATTTAATTTGTTGCTACATGATTACCAATTAAATTCACTCGATTCTGCTTATGTGAAGACTGAATCAATACAACAGAATCTATAATGGAAATAAAAATTAGAATTTGCTGTTAGCATGAACAATCATGTTTAGTCGAGAGAACAATGTAGTCTCGACCAGTATCACTATTCCAATGTCTTGCAGTAACGGTCTGAACGCGACTCTGTTTCGGACTGCCTCTGACTCGAATCTTGACTCGACTTGAACTACTGACTAAACTGGAACTACTGACTTCTTGCCCACTCCTGAGGCGCAGTATTTATTAAGTATGGAATAGTCCATTTATTAAGTATGGAATAGTCCATTTATTAAGTATGGAATAGTCCATTATTATTATTATGGGTAAGATCCCATAGCAGTTAACATAAGTATTTCAAACAATTAGGAATTTAAGTTTATATTTAAGAACCTTTCAGCCAACAATTTTTCAAAAGGTAATCAATGGCGAAACAGGAAATAATCGAAGACACCTTAATAAATAACGAACGAGGAGAGTGTCGCGATGGTGTTACCATTGTTGCTGTGAAAGTCGAACGACGAACGTCGCAGTAATCATTATTGTAGTGATTGAGTTACCAATATTTAACTTTGGCTAGGAAAGGTGGGGTTAAGGACAATGCGTGTACGCAATTCAATTTATATTTGACGTAAATAGCACATAGTATAAAATAAAAAACTGAACGGAATGATTTCAAAACATAACAGTTGAATTTATTAATGTTTGATATACATGCATGCGAACTAAAAAGGTAGGACAGAGTCGTGTCCCTTTGATTAGGTATTAGTTGTACCTGAGTTCATATTAAGAAGTAATATTAAACTGTAATTTAGAAGAATAAAGTTTGTCATTGTGAGTTCTAAAGTTGGTAAAAGTTCAGAAGTGATTTCAGAGTTCATACTTGCGTGAATGTTGGTAATAGTCTTTAACGTCTGATCGCAATGGCTAAGACGGGATGAGTTCTTGAAGGTTACATCTTGGCACTTGGTAGCAAGGCATGAGACGGAGCGAGAGAGATGAATGAAAAGAAAACTCGAGGGAGTTTACACGTGTTGGGTTTTTATAATATTATTGTACCACGTGACAGGCTCAAATGGAGAACGCGGGAAAACAGATTGGTCGCGTGCAGGCAGTTTGATTGGTCGGAACTGACTAATCAGCAAGCTATATTGGAGGTGACTGACCAATGAATACTTGTTATATTTGTATGAAAGTAGGATGTTACTTACCAAATAGGAAGAGTGCATTTCCTAAAAAGAGGTAAGGCTGGTTTGTTGTGGAAGATCCCACAAGAGAAAATTGGAACACGATTAAAATAGATTTTAATTTTAAATAAATTAACGATTAAAAACAAAATACGAAATTTCAAAAAGAGTATAAAATGGAAAAAAAAGTTACTCATAATCCTTCGATCAAACGTAAGGAACGAATAAAGTGTTCCTTTTGTTTACATAGGGTGGGCTGATGAAACTTAATATAAACAGCCTCAAAAAATCGAAGATCGTGAACCGAGCGAGCACTGTGTAAAATGGGAATAATGTGTCAATGTAATAATTAGGAATTTCTAGACAAAACTGGAAATAGAAAGACAATACATATTTAAAGTTAGAAAGAGAAAGTTGAAAATTCTAGGGCACATTATGAGGAAAGAAGCTTGGAAAATTTAATACTCACAGAACTTGAGATAAGTAGTAGATGGTTACAGCGGGAAAATGGGTGAGTTTGTGCGAATGGATGACAGAGCAGGATGACAGGGGGAGAATGGAAAGTGTGAAAAGTCACTTAAGCCTTTGAGCTCTGCGTTCCCGAACAATTTTAACCCTTCTGCTGTGAGCTCCTGAGTCAAAATTTGCCAATAATTGGCATGTAATGTTACATGGTAGATATAAAAATAGTTACCAAAATAATATAACTTCCTGATTGCTACCCTGACAGTCCGGGTTGAGACTCTGCATACTTCATTGTAAGAATGATTTTTTTTTTCCAAAACACATGCACAAAACACGAAAATGCGCGGACATGTTGGAGTATGGTTCAATGACATCAGAATATTACGGCTTTTCTGATTGGCTCTTCAAAATAAGACAACCAATAGCAAAACACAACGCAAGAGTTTACCCTATGTTCAACCGGTAGCTGGGTATTAAGTCATTTTTTTCTCTCCCACCGGTAAAGCGGTGACCAAACCTCAAAGTGTTAAAGATACAAAGGGCTGGAAGTTTTAGCGAGTTATAAACAGAGACGGGTTAGCGGAGACAGCTCAAAATTAACTATGGTTATTCTTTATTTTCAGTGACAAGGTTTCCCGTGTTCGAGCCAAATTCAAAGCGTAGTAATTCTTCAATTATATACATATTTTTTTTATGCATGTCACCCCAAGTAGGGCGGAAGTGCCACTAGCACGCAAGGGGCTACAGAAAGTGAGAGCAAGAGTAAAGAATGGTGTTTAAGCAAAAGATATAGACAAGGACGGGTATCAGGATCAACGCTTCAGAAGATGTCGATTGACATTAAATTTGAATATTTGAAGATTATAGCTATCAAGGAAGCCAGTAGGAGGAAGGGCGTTCCACTGTCAGAAAGTGCGATATAAGAAGCTGTTGGCGTAGAAGAGACGGCTACTTTTAACCATTTCGACAGTGAAAATGTGGGACCGAGATGCCAACCTAGTAGCACGCTTAAAATCACACAGTTTGGCAAACAGTGACAGTAGCTCGTCAGAGCAGTTGCCACGAAAATACTTGTAGAAAAGACAGAGAGAAGCCACAGCACGTCTGTGAGAAAGTAACTGTAGACGAGATGCCAGATCAGGACCTATCACATTGCATATCTGAATTTTGTCGGAGACCTCGAGATGAACAGAGGGGGAATCAGACCATATATGGCAGCAGTATTCAATGCAAGGAGGAATGGTTGATTTGTAGATTTGTATGTTTCCTGTATTTCTACTGTTAAATCTTATGTGCAGAAATTAGACATCTTGATTAAACCTCATATTTGTCCGTATGCTGAGTTAAATTTAGTGTGCATTAAGATGGTCGCTTGTTCCTTATCAGTGATACATATCAATATTCGAACTGAATTAAAAGTCAATATTTCGAATGCTGATTTTCAAATTTGCCACTTAAACTATCGACGCGACATAATCATCCTCTCTGTATCCCCACCATCTTCACGTCTGACATCAGCAAAGTACACGTAACATCAAACGAGTCATTGACAAATATTGTCAATCCGTCAGTCTGCCTTTCTCGTGAGCGCAAGTGGGCGACGATCAAGGGAAAAGGATTTTTTTTTGTTTCAAAATATTTCGTCTGTGAGCTACGATAGCGGTTAAAATAATGATGGCGGACGCGAAGCTCGTGAACTTGAGTCGCCATTTTGATTTTTTAGACATGCATTCATTCCTTTCTCTTTCAAGTTTTCAAGTGCAAAGAAATTTACCCTCAGCCGTTAGTATTGTTGCATTTTCATTCATCTAGTTCTGCTCTCTCTCTCTCTCTCTCCCTCTCTCTCTCCCTCTCTCTATCACTCTCTCTCTCTCTCACTCTTCCTCACTTTTTTCAATCTTGATGTTTTTCTCGTTCTCTCTTTCTTTATACCTATCTTTCCTCATCTCTCTACCTCTATGCAACTCTCTCCTATCTATCTATCTATCTATCTATCCTATCTTTATTGCCGTTCTTTCGTTTACAATTTCATCATCTCGCTCTCTATCTATGCCACTCTCTCCTCTTTCTGCTCCCTCTCTCTCTTGTCCTTTCACAAAATGACTTCACATCTCACTTCATCTCTCTGGCAATCTATCTATCTATCTATCTATCTATCTATCTCAATCTGTTTATATCTATCTTTCTTACAGGTTTTGACAGCTATTTCAATGTGTTCCGATCTATCTATCTATCTATCTATCTATCCTTTTCACTGTTGCTGTTTTGTCGTTTATAACATTACCTCTGCTCTCTTTCCATCTTTATACAACATTCTTTTCACTCACCTTTCTCTCTCTCTCTCTCTCTCTCTCTCTCACACATCTCTCTCTCTCACTCGTTCTCTCATTTCTGTCTCTCTCACTTGCTATGTGATCTCTCTCTGTCTCACTATATATATATATATATATATATATATATATATATATATATATATATATATATATATACTTTATTGTAGTTTTGTCGTTTACAATCTCCTCGTTCCTCATTTCTCTTTATCTCTATGCTGGTTTCTCCTCGCTTTTCACAAAATCACTCTCCCTCTGTTTCCATCTCTCTCCCTCTGTTTCTCATTCTCTCTATGAGAAATACGGAAAAACAGACGGAGTTGGTAGGGAAGGAATTATTGAGATTAAATAAAAAGAAATATTAACAAGAATGCAATGAATACCAGAAAGGAAAGATGGCAATAATAATAGGGAGAAAGATAGATAGATAGATAGATAGATAGATAGATAGGAACAGAATGTGATAGAATGAGATAGATAGATAGATAGATAGATAGATAGATAGATAGATAGATAGATAGATAGATAGGAACAGAATGTGATAGAATGAGATAGATAGATAGATAGATAGATAGATAGATAGATAGATAGATAGGAGCAGAATGTGATAGAATGAGATAGATAGATAGATAGATAGATAGATAGATAGGAGCAGAATGTGATAGATAGATAGATAGATAGATAGATAGGAACAGAATGTGATAGAATGAGACAGATAGATAGATAGATAGATAGATAGATAGATAGATAGATAGATAGATAGATGGGGAGCAGAATGTGATAGAATGAGATAGATAGATAGATAGATAGATAGATAGATAGATGGATGGGGAGCAGAATGTGATAGATAGATGGATAGATAGATAGATGGGAACAGAATGTGATAGAATGGAGACAGATAGATAGATAGATAGATAGATGGATAGATAGATGGAGATAGATAGATGGATGGGGCAGAATGTGATAGATAGATAGATAGATAGATGATAGATAGATAGATAGATAGATAGATAGATAGATAGATAGATAGATAGATAACAGTTTTAGCATTTTTATCTGAACCTTTCCCTGAATATAACTGAGAAATAAGAGGCAAGAAATGGAAAATAATATTCTTCCCGAATACTTTGAGAGAAACAGAAGAATTTTGAATGAAAGAAAAGAACGGGAGAATCAATAATGGGATGAGTAAAAGAGGCAGGAATAAAATTGTCAAAAATCGAAATGAATCATTTGATTGCATTAAGATTAGAAATTAATTGTGTTTGCGTAACGACGTAAGTTAATTTAGGAGAGGCTGAGAGCTTTATAAATGGACATTGAGAAAATCAGAATAAGATAACAAAGACAAGTGGAGGTCAAAAGAAAGAAAGAAAGAAAGAAAGAAAGAAAGAAAGAAAGAAAGAAAGATTAAAACTTACAGTGGAGGAACGTATAATAGAAGAAAAGAAAAGATGAGAGACAGAGCAATGTCAGAAATATAAAACAAAAGAAAGAAATATAATGTGAAGAGAAGAAAGTAGAGAAAGAATCAAGAAATAACCACGGAAAAGTCACAAAGAAAGAATGAAAGAAAGATTAAAAGTTACAATGATGGAATGAGAGTAAAATAGGAAAAGAAAGAAAAGACACAAAGAAATAACCGAAATATTAGAATATATATATATATATATATATATATATATATATATATAGATATATATATGGAGAAGAGGAGAAAAAAAAGAAAAAGAAACAGCTACGAGAAACTCGTAAAGCAAAAAAAATAAAAAAAAAAAAAAAGAAAGAAAGAAAGAAAGAAAGAAAGAAAGAAAGAAAGAAAGAATCAGGGAAGTCTAAAAGTAGTCATAAATAGAAGAGCGGAAAAAAGGTGATATTCAGACGAAAGGAAGGAAGGAAGGAAGGAAGGAAGGAAGGAAGGAAGGAAGGAAGGAAGGAAGGAAAAGGAATAAAATGATGCCACAAGAAAATGAACGAAATATATAAGTAAAAATATAATGAGAAGAGAACAGAAGGAAAAAATATAAAGAAAAAAGAAACAACCACGTATAAAAAAAAATAAGAATAAAAGAAAAAAATAAGAAAAAAAGAAATAAAAAATAAAAAGAAGAAAAAAAGAAAAAAGAAACAACCACGTATAAAAATAAGAAAGAAAGAAAGAAAGAAAGAAAGAAAGAAAGAAAGAAAGAAAGAATGACAAAGGAAAAAGAAAAAACAAAGACAAGGAGACAACGCAAGACTCGATCAAAACGTGGCTCAACTGGGAAAATATCTAAATCATATATATCTAGATCCTATATATAAATATCTAGATCATATATATACATATCTAGATCATATATTTTCCATAGACTGGTTGTATGACGATATCTCTCACAAACCTTCTCGTAGATTATGACTGTTCAGTTCTTATTTTGTGTGCCTCACAATATTGTCTTTATGCCAGATTTGTTTTTTTTAAGGTGGCGGGGGTCGCTATGTTCTTGTACTACTGCATGATAAATATAGAAGACACTTCAGAAAACTAAAGGCTAAGTACCACTTCAGGACAAGCTTCTTCCCCAGAACCGTTACTTTGGGGAACAGACGACAGAGATGAGGCTTTCGTTGAAAGGTAATCTCTATAATAGCATCTATAATAACCAAATTAAGAACAATAACACGATATAATTACATTTACTATTCAAGGAGTTGTATGACTTATTATTTAAATTGCAAACATTTCATAAAATTTAATATATATATATATATATATATATATATATATATATATATATATATATATATATATATATATATATATATATATATATATATATATTGTCATCCACAGACAGACAGACAACTTCGCCGTATCACGACTCATCAGTGTGATTAGGATCGAAACCCGGCTGAATTGGTGTCAGTCGTATATTCTAGCCCAAAGCTGTTGGCGCACGGCAGGGATGAAGGCGAATTTACGCGTATTTATTTTTAGATAAACAACCAGTGACTGAGAGAACTTGATTCGCTTTACCCAAGAGTCTTGCATTATTTAATTTTCTTGTGTTCGTACAAGTGTTTTCTTTTTGGGGCACAGAGTGCGCAGAAACAGTCCAAATTTTCAGTTTCTGCACACAATGTGTCCAAAAAAGAAAACTCTTGTGCGAACACAAGAAAATTAAATAAAAAGCTTAATCGTAGTACTTTGTTTGTCGTCTTTAATCAAACACATATATATATATATATATATATATATATATATATATATATATATATAGTCATCCACAGACTGTTTGGCAGCTCATCAGTGTAGCTAGACGTCCGGTTGCCCCTGGCAAGGATCGAAACCCGACTGAATTGGCATCAGTCGGGATTCTACCACTAAGGCGTTGGCGCACGGCAGGGATGAAGGTGAATTTAGCGGTATTTACTTTTAGATAAACACACAGTGACTGAGAGAACTCGATTAAATTTACCGAAGAGTCTTGCATTATTAGCCGTAATAGTCACTGTTTACAAACCAAAACTTCCTCCCCAGAGAGCTCGACCGAAACAAATTTTTCAGGAGCATATATATTGTCATCCACAAACAGACTGTTTTCGCTGTATCGCAACTCATCAGTGTGGTTAATGTCCCGTTACCTCTAGCTAGGATATATATATATATATATATATATATATATATATATATATATATATATATATATATATATATATACAAATTCATGAATTATTCATACAAAAACAAATACAAAGGTTAATGATTTAATTGGAGAGAAATCCATCATCGCGAACAATTCAAATAATATACAAAAACCCCGAACCTGTTTATGAATGAAAAGATCCTTGTTTTATAAATTTCTCTTGAATAAGTTCTTATTATTTTTACAAGCTTTCGTCTGTTCCTATAGACATCCTCAGGAACATGATGGATTTCTCGTCAATTAAATCATTAACCTTTGTATTTGTTTTTTGTATGAATAATTCCTGAATTTGTAAATTAATTGCACCTTTATTGAAATAATGCATGTATGTATATATGTATATATTTGACGATTGCGTTCAAGCATGAAATGCCTCTGGGTGCAGAATTCAATATCCACTTTTTATATATATATATATATATATATATATATATATATATATATATATATATATATAATTTTCTAAAAAGTAATTGATTTTTAATGTATTAGTGCAACAGATTTTTATTACCGAAAATGTTATTTTCAGTGGATGCTCATATTTGAGTAGACGTTCTGTTTGTTTATTAAACTGTTTATTTCTTTTATTATCGCCCACCGGCCTGAATATTCCAGTAATTCCATTAAATTAAATAGACTGAAAAACGTATAGTTTTCTTTAATTAGATTTCTTGGATATTCAGACCGGTAGGCGAAAATAAACAAATAAATTGTCTAATAAATATTAAAAAAAAGTTAACAAAACAGCAATTTTTATTAACAAATAACTCACCTACACAAACGCCTGATAATTATTCACCAATCCAATATTATCTAATGTATAACCCAGAACCAAAATAATGTTTTAAAAAACGCTACCATTGTTTGTATGAGGACAAAAGCCAAGAATAAAGGCAAACGGCAGAAAATAGACATCGTTTTTTTCCCCGGAAACAGTTCTTGACGTTTTGGAAACGGTTACTGAGCTCTTGCGTAAATCAGATATTAAGAACGTATTCGGGGTCTTGATCTTGTTCTCCAAGAATTCTGAACTCTGCCTTAAAAATAGAATGCCGCAGTCAATTTGCCATGGGACTAAAACAGAGGAGGAATAATCTTTCTACATTGACCATTCTGGAGACATTAAGGTTGAAGTGATTGCATTGGCGTAAGGAAAACGGGTTGTATATGCTGACTTTCATAAGGACTTGTAGTGCATTAAGATGCAAATAAACTAGATACGATAGGGGCATAAATAAGTGCAATGATTCAAAAAGAGGGACAGATATAGAATCGTGTTGAAGAGAAGAAAAGAAAGAAACAATATCATTAAAAGGGAGAAAGTATAATTAGAGAGAGAAGTGATTGGGGGAGAAGAGAAAAGAAAGAGAGAGAACGGGAGCTTTGAAAGAGGAGAAAATGGTAGACGAAGGAGATAAAAAGAAAGAAAAATGGAATAAAGTGAGAACATTCCAAAAGGGAATGTGGAAACAATGAATGGATGAAGGAAATTAAAGAAAGAGTTTAAAAAGGAATGAACGAACGAATGATTGTATGAATGAATGAAAAAACACAAAGGAAAAGTAAAAATGTTCACTGAAGAAAAAAAAGGGATTTTGAATGATGAAAATCAATGAGAAGGAAAGAAAATGTACGAAGAAAGAAAGAAAGAAAGAAGAAAAGGTCCGAAGAAAAAAAGAAAAAAGAAAGAAAGAAAAAGTGTCCGAAGAAAGAATAAAGAAAATGAAGAAAATGCACAATGAAAGAAACAAAGAAAGCGAAAATAATGAACAAGGGAAAGTGAAAATAAATCAGATAAGAAAGAAAGAAAGAAATACTAAAGTGAAGATATAAAGAAGAAATGAAAGAAAATGAGGTAAATAAATAAGACAAAGAAAAGAAGAAAGAATGAATAAAGGAAAAGAAAGAAACGATTAACAATACGATTAAAATATACAGAGAAAGAATGAAAGTATGACAAAGAAAGAAAAGTTACACAGAACATAAAGAAAGAAAGGATTAAAAGAAGATATAAAGAATAATTTTAAAAAATGAGGTAAAGAAATAAATACGAAAGAAAGAAAAACAAGAAAAAGAAAAGATATAAAGAAATGACAGCGTTCGAGGAAAAAGTTAGCAGTCAAAGAAAGAAAGAAAGAAAGAAAGAAAGAAAGAATAGCAAAACATTACGAAAGAGAAAAGAAAGAAAGAAAGAATAGCAAAACATTACGAAAGAGAAAAGAAAAAAAGAAAGAAAGAAAGAAAGAAAGAATAGCAAAACATTACGAAAGAGAAAAGAAAGAAAGAAAGAAAGAAAGAAAGAAAGAAAGAAGATAAGACAGAAACGGGGAAAGGAAGAAAGATAGAAAAGTTAAAACAAAGCAGGAGAAAGGAAGGAACAAAAGTGAAATAGAAAGAAAGAAAGAAAGAAATGGTTATCAATACAAAGAAAAGACACAATGAAAGAATGAAAGTAAGACAAAACAAGAAAGCAAAGGAGGTCAAAAGAAAGGAAGTAAAAATTATGAAGAAAAAACATACGAAGAAAAGAGAGACTATGTGGAAAAATAAGGTAGAAGTCAAAGAAAAGAAAGAAAGAAAGAAAGAAAGAAAGAAATAGAAAGAAAGAAATGACTAGCAATACAAAGAAGAGGCACAATGAAAAAATGAAAGTAAGACAAAGAAAGAAAGCAAAGTAAGTCAAAAGAGAGGAAGAAAAAAAAAAGAAAGAAGAATGTAGAATTTCGAGTCGTATTCCTTCAGGCCATACAAGGATATATTGATTTCTCTCTATCGCTGTCATGAATGTGTCGAATAGCATGGATTTTAGTTGGCCGCGGGCTCAAACATACCAGAAATAGTTCCAGTAACTAATAACCAGGTGCACGTTTTGTCGGTTCAACGTGAAACAGAGTTTCGGTGATCCACTCCGAACCGGCTACTTTCGGCTCGAACGACTAGCATCGATTCTTTGTGGTTTCGATGTTTGGATGTTTGTCGGTTGCATTGGTTCTGACATGACCGCCGGAGTTTTAAACAGTTTAAATGCGTGTAAATTTGCAAATCGTTAGATGGCAGTCTCCCTGAAACTGAACTCTTAACCAGTGAGCGAATAGATTTTAGAAGCCCTACAATAGCTAACGTCATGCCAATGATTAACACAAAGAGAAGGAAAATTAGGTGAAGCAAATCCCCACCACATAACGAAATTATATTCTAGTCTCCGCAAAAGCTGTTGATGCTATATTCAAATTTGACAGGGTACAGTCAGTCAATTAAATAACTATGAATAGACTGACTAGCAACGCTAAACACAAACTGTCTCAGGAGAATCAATAAAATCTGTCGGCTCTTTTACATACTGTTGTAAGCTAGGAAAGGTTACTGAATAGAATAATCACAAGAAGGTTGGCAATGAACGATAATACTTAGGACAAGAACAACACATATAAGATTCGACAGCGTAGAGAAAGTAGTCAACTGCTAGAATTGAGTCAAGTGAATTCCACAATGAATCTCCAACTACAGGATATCTACCAACCGTCGCACGCGGTCAGATGTGGCACAAGGCCGAATTTAATGTGGTGTAACCAAGACCGTAGGCTCGGCCAAAATTTCCCCGTAGACCCCGTAGAAAACGGGGTCGAGTAGCTGTTTCCCGCGACGAAACTCTGCCCGTCGACATAGCCTCGTCTGGGGATGCTCTCAGCCCAGAGGCAGAGAAGTGGTTTAAAGGGAGCGCATTTTCTGTAAGTTTTTCTAGTACGCTGCCTGGTAGACGAGATAAATACCGTTTGAAAATATATATATATATATATATATATATATATATATATATATATGTAATAGAAAATTGTCCAAATCGTGTAGCAGCGTAAATGTCCCTCTCACAAAATGCTTAATATCTAAAAAAAAAAAAAAAAAAAAAAAAAAAACGAATTGAGTTTATTTTTCCAGGTTTTCAGATAGGACGTGTAGCCATCTTGACACTAGTCGTAAGAATCACTGAAAACCCTTTGAGTTATTCAGCTAGAAAGAGAACAGGATAAAATCGTTTTGTGTCAGCTCTACTGTCTTTCCAAATGAGCAATGATGAGAGGAAAACGACCATTCAGGCCCTCAGTAATGGTACCAACATTCATACTCTGGCTTCCATCTTCAAAGTCCATTCAAGAACCATCAAGAGAACCGTGAATAAGTTTGTAAAAAAAGGAACATTGGAGACGAAAACGGAATCAGGAGGTCACAAAGAGAAGAGGGATCATCATTTCAATTTAGAACTAAGAGGGATCAGTTAGAAATTATCCATAAGACGTTTGGCACGTGTGAGAGAAGTTTCAGCTATGACAGTCCAAAAGCAGTTAAAAAGGATTAAAAATCAAATTGTACATGAAACCTTTTTCGAAAGCTGTTGATGGCTGCATTAACACGAAACCACAAGTCATCGTGACTGATAGCTTGATTGTAAATAGCCTTGTTAAATTTATGATTATGCACTTTTGCTCAGAAACTGTAACTAAGTTAGTTTCTGTTTTTTGTTTGTTTTTTTTAAATCATTTCACCCCAAGCAAGGCAACACAGACACAGTGGGTGTGAAAACATATAAGAAAAAACATTATTAATAAGCGAAAACGATAAAAGAAGAGGAATCAGGAAGAGAGAAGTTAACGATTGACATTGCATTTAAGTTTTTGAAGATTAAAGTTGGAAAGAACAGCAAGAAGCCGGAAGAGAGAGTTCCCCGAGCGTAAATTACGGTTACATCAAGTTAACTGAACTGTAAAACGATCAGACGTCGCTAACCTAGTACTGTACATATATTCAGAAAGTCTAGGTACCATAGAGTGAGGTTCATCAGAACAATTATCATGAATATATTTATAGAAAAAAGTACAAATTAGGCACATTACGGCAGCGGGAAAGTGACTGAAGCCGAGATACCAGGTCACTACCAATAACATTGCACATTCTTCTTTGGATTTTTATCAAGAATCTCTAAATGAGAATCTCTAAATGTATAGCAGCAGCAGCAGCAGACCATATGTGGCAGCAATGTTCAAGACATGGACGAATGGTAGACTTATAAATATGTAAGTCAGATTCTAGAGAGAAAAATTGAAACGTTCTTTTAGTAGCTGACCTAGCAATTGATTCAATATGATCTTTGAAGTATAAACCACAGATTGCCCCCAGTGGGTGTAAAATAAACAAGAAATATGCTGGAACGAGCGTCTGCCACTAGGATTAGCTAGACGGATGTACTTAGAAGCGAGTAATCAGTCATTATGTATACAGGCAGTGCGTTTTCGACGTTTTGTAATGGTTAACAAACTTGTCTCGATAGATTAATTACGGTTGAATAATGAGTTAGGTCTTCGCTGGGTGCGCCATACTTCCGGCCTTATGCCACCTCTACGATCAGATCGGCCATGTGCCACACGTGATACACGCTTAGGTGATCATGTATCTTTCGATACATGACTGACGAGGCAGATTTGTAGGTTCCCATTTCTTTCTGCAGTATACCAGTTTCCATCCAGGGCTATAAAACCCATATTTCTATTTACCCATATCTGGGTGGGGGAGAAGAAGAGGATTCATACCTTTCCCAAGGGTATTAGCACGTAAGTGAACCTAATGGATTCGACTGGAATTCGAACTCGGCTCTCCGATTCCCCAATCCGAGCCGCTATCCATTACTCCACAATCATCATTATGTATGCAGGTATTGATGCGACTGCCTTAGGAGGTTAGGGTTATAGTTATCGGGGAGTGATTTTCTAAAGTTCCCCCAACCACTCTTTTCCAGATTAACCATTAATCGCTTAAAATGATCCGATAGTTTTCCAATTTCCTGCCAATGGGAAATAATGCAGAGAAAATTAGCTTCATGTTTTTTTTTTTTTTTTTTTTTTTTTTTTTTTGCAAGGGAATTTGCACTAGGTGAACTCAGCAGCCTCAATCTAAATAAGCTACTGTTTAGACAATTCCACTTTCAATCGCTGTGTCTGTTACGATGCTTGAAATACCTGCAGGGATTTAAAGCGAGAAATGCCTTTCTAAACATTTTCCTGGTGGCTTGCCTTTGGTTAGGTTGCTTAATTTGGAATCATACCTAGTCGGTATTTAAGGGTGAATATGTTTTCGAAAAAAAAAAAAAAACAGAATGAATTAATAGATAGGTAAACATGGGTTCGTTCTTCTCTAGGGGACCCATCTTCTAGATGGAGCTCCCCACCCACTACCGGATTCTTCGGGGAGAGTTGGCGGAGAAGAAGGTTTTTCTTTTTCTGGTCGGAGTAGATGCTGCAGTTGTAGTATCTGTTCTGTTCCGGAGGCCATCGTTCCCCCTCTTGCATTTTCCCAGCCATCATTGCATGACACCTGTTACGTATTAGGTTGGTGCAAAAATAATGACGTAATAATGTCGTTTTTTGACATTAAAAAATACGTCAAAAAACAACATTATTACGTCATTATTTTTGCACCAACCTAATAGCAATGGTACGACCGTCTATGACTAGCTTAGACAAGCTTTGAGAAGCTTAGACCAGCGGCCCGAGTGTTTTCACTCGGGTCCCCTTCGTAAAAAAACCGACCTTATGTGACAAACTGACTCACATGGGTGGTGAGTAAGGTAAATCTCTGGTCCGTCCTTCCCTAGAGTAACAAAGTTAGAGTTCATACAGGTGGTGTAATGGATAGCGACTCGGAATGAAAAATCGAAGAGCCGAGTTCGAATCCGGATCGAGTTCATAACGCGCAAATACCCTTAGGAAAACTATGAATCCATCTCTTCTCCCCACAGCTATATAAATAGCAGGGTAGATTGGGCTCTGTAGCTGTGATTGACAACCAGTCTAGGAGAAAGACAACCCGGAATTTAAAACCGTAACAATCGTCCATGATCCCTTAGTAACGAGAAAGGGAAAATGCCAAGTTAAAATACAAATATAAATAAAGATAGACATAAATCCATTAGACACTCTAGAGTTACAAAGGAAGATATGGTTAACATTATAATCTAAAACGGACTTACACCAAAGCCTGTGGTTATTTATTATTAGTGATATCATTTTGGGGGGAAGGGGTTCCTTAGTTTACTGTAGGTGTATTGAAAATCCCGCGAACAGAGCAAGAATTGCTTTTGAGCAATGTGGAATAATTTTGCCGGAGTAACCTGACTGAACAATATGTCCAAATTCTCCAACTCATGGGTACCAAACATCTATGGATCCATGCGTATATATATATTAGGTTGGTGCAAAATAATGACGTAATAATGTCGTTTTTGACATTAAAAAATACGTAAAAAAAAACGACATTATTACGTCATTATTTTTGCACCAACCTAATATATATGCAGGGTGTCCATAAAGTTTCTTTACAATTTAAAAAAATGATGACAAAGCAAACGAACAGGCAAATATGTGGAAATAGTTACAAAATGAAGAGTATATATTGAAGTTTTTAAACTAATTTAATACACCTCTCTATGGCCACCATTAGTTGCACGAAGCACATCAAAACGGTACTCCATTTCTTGCCATAGCCTCATCAATGGTGGCAATGGCATCAATGATGTTTTTGCTTTAGATCAGTGATGTTTCGTATCTTTGTTCGAGAAAAGATATCTAACATGACCCCATAGAAAGAAGTCCAGGGAAGTGTTATCTGGTGAACGAGGTGGCCGGAGAATTGGACCATGCCTTCCAATTCACCTGTCTGGAAATGTTAAGGGTTCATTTAACTGCATCTCTTTCATCAACAGGATACCTGAAATACACAAATGCAATGTGATTAGAAACTGTGATAACTGCTGAGTACGTAGAATAAATCTGATTAAGATATCTCATTAATTGCCTTTGTAATATATTTTCAAATTGTAAAGAGACATTATGGAAACCATGTATATAATTACAATTCTTTTACGCCTAATAAAAGCACCTACCGAGATGACACCTCCTGACACATGAGGGCACTTGCTCAGGTTTCAGTAATGAAATTGTTCCATTAGGA